GTATAAAATAATAAAATATACTCACAGTGGATAGGGCAGGCTAACTGCTCTATGATAAAAGCGTAGGTGGTATAATCCCCACCTGGGATTCTTTGGAGTAAAATACCTGGAAGTAAAATAAATAAAAGGAAAAAGTATATAAAAATGTATATAGTATAAAATATATATAAAAGGCCAGGTAATAGTCAAAAGATAATGGTATAAATGTAAAAAGTGACCAAAATCTATTTATTAACAGTATATAAAAACAGTATAATATCCAAACGCGTTTCACCAATATAAGGCTTTATCAATGGTATAAATGTAAAAAGTGACCAAAATCTATTTATTAACAGTATATAAAAACAGTATAATATCCAAACGCGTTTCACCAATATAAGGCTTTATCAATGGTTTTGGTCTTGTTGAAAAATACAGAAACTACAACAAAAGCTCAACAAGGATTTATTAAAATACAATAATGAACTTATAAAGTTCAAGAAACAAGAGTTTGAAAGGGTCCGACAAGATTACCAGGACCATAGAGTCTATAGGTGGCTGTCTGGTAACAGTACAAACAGACCAAGAAGACAGCGCATAAGGATAATCAAACCAAGAATTGTCACCATTGACACCACGTCGGGTGAATCTGCCTCTGACAATGATGTAACTGAATCTACATCACAACCTCCTCTTTTTTTAGGAGTTACAGAAATGGGTGCCTCCACCAGAAGTCGGGCATAAGGAATCGGAGAAATTGAAGGAGCCGCAAAAACAGGAGCAATGCCGAAGGGCAAACCACCCCACAAGAAATAATCCCCATCTTCAATCTATCTCATAGGCCGTTGACTCAAGATGAAATTGATTTGTTAAGTCGAGGACTATCATTTGTGCCAACGGCCGGTGCTAATAAATTTCAGTGGGATGTAGAGTGGTTTAAATTCGGCAGAAATTTACGACTGAAAGTATTTTTCAACAAGACCAAAACCACTGCATCAATGGGTAATAATGAAAGTAAAGAAAAAGTCTGCCTTAAGTCCACCTTCGATCCTACAACCAACAAGCCTTCTATTAGGACTTACCTTTCACTAACAGGTAAACAAGCACACGAATCTATGTCTAAACTTCCCCGGGGACGACAGAACGTCACTAAACACCAACGTCAACTCATTAAAAACTTAGAAGAAGACAACTCTATTGTCATACAGTCGGCAGACAAAGGAGGGGGCATTGTGCTCATGAACTATCTTGATTATGCCAATGAGCTGAAGAGCCAATTGCAAGACACCAACACCTACCTTCCTCTTGACTACGACCCTACTAAGGACTTCCAGCGTATCATCCAGGACACTCTTTCTATGGGCTTAAGAGCAGGGTTTATCAATTTGGAATTATTCCAATTTCTAAACCAGAAGCACCCCCGCAGCCCTATTATTTATAGCATCCCGAAAATCCATACGGAGGTTCATGCCCTCCAGGACGTCCAATAGTATCTGCGATCAAAGGGATCTTGGAACCTTTAGCCAAATGGCTTGACGCCCTATTTAAAGGACCAATTGAACAGCTGCATACCTGTATTAAGGACACACCAACGTTGCTGGGCAAGATCAATAATATTTGAATTTCGAGAGAGTAAACCGATTTTAATCATGATGGATGTCAAAAGTCTATACACCGTCATCCCGCATGAAGGGGGCATAGAAGCCATGAGACAAGTACTTACAACTTCAACGGTGTATGTGGGGCCACCTATTGAATATGTTCTGGAGATATTGGCGTTAATATTAGAATGGAATTATTTCTGATCTGAAAATCAGTGGTATTTCCAGGGATCAGGTACATCCATGGGGGCAGCGATGGATGTAGTTTCTCTGAAACTGCTATGTTTACAGCTGCAGGGTTAAAACCTGGAGACCTGGCACCCAGACCACTTAATTGAGCTGAGGTGGGCTGTGTGACTATAGAGGTCCTTTAAACAGAGCAAGGCTTGTGTGCATTATTCTGCTGCACACATCACTTCCCTTGGTCCCAGGGTCATAACACCAGAGCCGCATTGAGATTGTTCAGGGCCCTAAGAAGGATGCCTTATCAGATTCCCCTCCCAGAGTGGTGAGCTCTGGTCTGTGAATGGGGTTCGCTGAGTATCATGTGTGTAGTGTTTGAGTATTGTGTAAGAGAGTGTGTGGTGTCGAAGATGAGCGTGCCGGCGCGTGGTAGGTGAGTGTTCTAGCTATATGTGGTGGCTGAAATTTGTGTGTGGAGGAGTCTGAGTGTTGTTGCATGGATGGAAGGCGGAACTGTGTGTTGTGGCTAAGTGTTGTGTCTGTGAGATGTTGGTTGAGTGTGTGTACGGTGGGGGGGACTACCATCTGTCCCCTCCTGCTTTTTTTTGGTAGAAAAGGAGTGTTATCCTTAGTGTTCCAGTGGTTGGATCTCTGGTCTTGATAGCTGGTGAGGGAACATTGTAGTCTGCAGTAATATTGGGTGGAGATCACCTTATGAGCTGCCTTGTGGTCATGGTGCTTAGTCAATGGCTCAGAGTGCTGGCTGATTCATTGAGAAGCACTGGGACCATAAGGGAGCTCCCAGGGGCGTATCTAGAGCATATGGCACCCAGGGCTGATCCTCTTTTTGGCACCCCCATCCCCACTTTAAAATGTAAAAAATACATGACATTTTTTAAAATGTATATAGCACTGAGTGTTAGCTGCCATTACATTATTACCGAAGCCCGGTCGCACTGTTAAAGCCCTGCAGCACACAACTGGTACCCTGAAGTAGTGGCAGTTCTAGGAACAATATATAGGAGAGGAACATTAGATACCACAGTCAAAAATGGGGGGCATTAATAATATTCACTAGATGATGGGGTAATGTGCTGGCATCAGACAACAAAATTAGCCAACCAGATTTCTTGTTTTGGGCTGGCTGACACATCTTAACTTATATCATTGTTTAGCGGGTAACTCCCCAATTTGCTATACTTATGTGAGCTTGCCATATTTAAGGACACCAAATAAAGCTATCTGCTAAACAGCATTCTAATTTGGTATCTTTATATATGGATTCTCACATAAGGGCACCAATTTAGGGAATTATCTACTAAACAGCTAAAAGATCAAAATGTAATATTTTAACAATCTTTCAGTTGTTTAGTAGATAACTCCCTTTTTCGCTATCCTTACGTGGGATTGACATATTTAAGGACACAAAATTAGGGCGCTATCTACTAAACACATACACATTTTTATAAATACACACACAATCACAGACATACACCCACATAACCACAGAGACACACAATAACAACATACACTCTTAACCACACACATAATCATAGACATACACAATCGCATAATTTGTTGTTTTTGTAAATGTTTTCTTTATTTATGATAATATAAGGTATACATGATACATAGATAAGACAACAGATTAAACATGTGACATCAATAGCACTAGACAATACTGTGTACAGCAAACATGTCAAACTCGCAGCCCGTGGGCTGCATGCGGCCCACAATGGCCATCTTTGCGGCCCGGGGAGCCGTGAGTACATGCTACTGTTATAGCAGAGTAGGCACCTGCTTTCCCCACATTGCAGGTGCCTACTCTGCTAACATTTACCCGGCCGGGGAGGATGGTCAGCGAGGGAGCTCAGTGTTCCTGCTCTTCACTGCTCCCTCCCTTGTGAGCGTCGGCTAAAGTTAAGCCGGGCGCCGGAATATGACGTCATATTCCGGCACCAGGCATCACTAAACCGCGCGAGGGAGCAGTTAGGAGCAGGAAGGACCCCAGGGAGATGCCCCCCATCGGCTCCATAAAGTAAGGAGCAATAAAAAAAAAGTATGTCTGTCTGTCTGTCAGCAGGTATGTGTGTGTCTGTCAGCAAGTATGTGTGTGTCTGTGTCTATCAGTGAGTATGAGTGTGTCTGTCAGCAAGTATGTGTGTGTCTGTCAGTGAGTATGTGTGTGTGTCTGTTTGTCAGCAAGTATGTGTGTGTGTCTGTCAGTGAGTATGTGTGTGTGTCTGTCAGTGAGTATGTATGTCTGTCAGTGTATGTCTGTCAGTGTGTGTGTGTCTCTGTGTGTCTGTCAGTGAGTGTCTGTCAGTGTGTCTGTCGGTCAGTATGTGTGTCTCTCTGTCAGTGAGTATGTGTGTCTCTCTGTCAGTGAGTGTGTGTGTGTGTGTGTGTGTGTGTGTGTGTGTGTGTGTGTGTGGCCCACATAAACTTAAACCTTGTTTATGTGGCCTGTGCCACACTTTGAGTTTGACATGCTTGGTGTACAGAATCAGAGTTTAGCGAAATTAACATAGGTTCTATCACATTCATTACATTGTGATATACAAGATCAGCAGTGTACATTCTTAAACCTCTTCGGTTTCAACTGTTGACACGTTTATTACTTCTTAGAAACCGAGCATTTACCATTTTTGCACATGCAAAATATGCAACATCCCTTCCTAGAATTAACAACAATACTTTTTTTTTTTTAATGTTGATCGCGTCTTGTCTGTGCCAGCTATGCGTTTTATATTATACTGTGCTAAAGATGCCACTTGAGCATAGAATTAAACGACATGAGTAACAACACAAGTACTGCAAAAAGAAAAGAAACAGAGTGGGGGGTAACAGCATGCTATGAAAAACACATTGGGTGCACTCTGGTGTCTGCTAGGGAGGGACTTGAGCCTGTTCTTGGTCAGTCCATCTCTCTGTGCTTGGCCTCCGTCAGTTTCCCGGTAACACAATCACTCCCAGCGGCCGCAGGTGCTCTGGAACAGGACCAGTAATCCCAATACGACAAGGCAATAAAACAGATTCACAGGCACTCCAATTGTGAAAGCCGCAGGTAGATTTATTGTCACAAAATGAGCAGCAACGTTTCGACCTAACAATAGGTCTTTGTTAAGCTTGACAAAGACCTATTGTTAGGTCGAAACGTTGCTGCTCATTTTGTGACAATAAATCTACCTGCGGCTTTCACAATTGGAGTGCAAGTGGGTATTATATGACATGTTGAGGGGATATGCCAGGGTGAGAATTATGACCAGGTGGTGGATTTATGGCAGGCAGAATAATATGACAAAGAAGGGGTGTATATGGCAAGGAGGCTATTATGACAAGGTGGGGGTGTACATGGCAGGGGAGGGTATTATGATAAGGTGGGTTTGGGGATATTTGACAGGGAGAGTGGGGGTATAATGGCAGGGAGGGTGACGGTATAATAGCAGGGGGGTGTGAGGGTATAATGGCAGGGAGAGTGTGTGTATAGGGCAGGATGGGCGGGGGTATAATGGCAGGGACAATGGGGTCATAAAGGCAGGGAGGGTATTATGACAAGGGGAGGATTGGGGGTATAATGGCAGGGAGGGCGTTGGTATAATAGCAGGGAGGGTGGGGATAATGGGCAAGAGCTCCGGACCTCCGTGGGTGCTGTATGTCCATTGGGGAGCCCTGCATTGGGTGCTGTGTGTTCAAATGAATACCTTGCATTGGGTGCTCTGTGTGCCCATCAGGGTGCCTGTAGTGAATGCTAGTCTGCCAAGGAATACCCTTCATTGGCTGCAGTCCTGCACCAAGTGCTGTCTGTGCCAATGAGGGTGCCCTGCAATGGGTGCCCCTTCAATGTGTGTGCACAGGAATACCTTGCACTGGGTGATGTCTGTGCCCATCAGTAGGTGCTGTCTGTACCAGTGAGGGTGCTCTGCAATGGGTGCTTTCTGGGCCAGTGAGGGTGCTCTGCAATGGGTGCTTTCTGGGTCAGTGAGGGTGCTCTGCAATGGGTGCTTTCTGGGCCAGTGAGGGTGCTCTGCAATGGGTGCGCACCTTAATAGCAATGCAAAATATAAACTACTCTATCATACACATGAATGAAACGGTACCTAATAAAATACGCTAAAACACACTTTTACCAATCTAAAGTCACCATGGGCAGGACAGGTTCCCTTTAACTAAATACATGTCATTAGTTTAGCAATTATTTTTTCAACAGGCCAATTGGCTCAGGGAGGTATTCTTGTATAATATAATAAACACTGGATTAAGTGTTGCCAACACTTTAATTAAATCCTGTCCATGTGTGGAGGTGGGTCCACTTGTTGTGAGCAGGTCTCTATGTAAAGGACCACATCAATACAAAGTGCTTATGTATTTGCTTTAAAACAAAAAGCCCTAAAGGCACTAGTCCAATGTCCAACCAGATCAAACTACAAGAAGTCTGTGAGCACAGCAGTCCTGTCTGGCACACTCTCTCCGCACTCTATGGTTTGTGAACCGGAAGCTCTCTGTCCATCAATATGGCGCTGCAGTTGACATGCAGAATTGGGGACATTTCATCAAAGATCGGACAAACTCCCATTCATATTGTAACAACTAGAACACATTCGCTCTAATAACCGCCTTTAAATAAAGAATGGATGCAGGCATCTTACGTTTTGCCGCTTTCAGTTCAATCTACTAAGCGGAAGTCTCCACCCACCGGTGACTCCGGAAGTTCCGCCATGTTACCGGCGACCCTGAGAGGTAGTGTGAATTTAGCGGCCACTCAAGGGCTGGGAGATAGAGGATCGGGGTGTGTTGGTGGAGGGTGAGGATAGGCTGATGGCTGCCTGAGAGTAATAGGCGTTTAATAGCTTGTTATCCCATACTAACGCCAATGTGAGGGTTATATATATATATATATATATATATTTACACACACACATCCTTTAAGTTGATCCTGACCCATGACACCCCTTGTAAGGATTGCTTTTAGGAATGTATGGTGTGTTACAACAGCAACATTTATAGAGCCATAGGAGTGTTTTAAATTTAATAATTTAAACAAACAAAAAAAAAAAAACTTTTAATAACTTTTATACACACGCCTACATTTAACAGTGTGCCAAATAAGATGACAAGTTTTAGAAAAATACAATGTTAATATTTCAGTATTCTAAATTATTATTTTGGGCATTTATATAGCGCCAACTCTGCAGGGCTTTACAATATAAATGACCGATATAGATAATAATGCACAATTATGGTGAAATAAGGTTTTTTATTTTTGTAGGCTTTGTGTTCCTTTAATGTTAGGGTAGCAATGGTATAGGTGCAGTTGCCATCATTCATAAATTCAGTTCCACTCCTAATCTTAATATGCCAGGAGAGGAGTTTGGGATACAGAATCACACTTTTTTTTTTTGTCAACTCAGGTCACCCTCCACAATATCATTATCATTATTAGACGACTAAATTAGAAAGGTTGCAGTTGCTGCCTTAGAGTGTAACTCGCATTAATGTCATACAGGATTTAAGTCCCTGTACTGCACTGAACAGTGCATGTCTTGCGTCAACACTGAAGATTGCAGGATTTAAAAACACATCTTTTTCAATAATAGGCAAAACATATATGTTTGTACATACATTCTGAAAAAATGTTTTTTTTTTTGTGTTTTTTTTACAGTAGATTTATACACCTTAATACTGACACATTAATTCTTAAAATGTATTTGTTATACAGACTAAAACATGCACTTATTGTTTGTGTTTCTTCTCAGACTGGCTTGGCCAGCTCTTCTTTCCTCCCGCCTGTCATGGCAGCCTGGTCCCGTGAAGCTGTTTTGACTCTTTACCGTGCCCTCTTGCGCCACGGGCAACAACTGCGATATACAGACCGCGACTTCTACGCTGCATACATTCGTCGAGAGTTCAGGAACCAGCAGAGACTCTCAAAACTGGAGGATAAAGAGAGGCAGCTTGAAAAAGGACAGTTTTTTCTTAAGACCAAGCTTGGTGGCTTGGTTTAATAACTACAGACATTGAATTTCAGTTAACCAGTGTGGGTGAGTATCGTTTTACTCAAAAAGCACACCTAGCAACATTATTGTAAGCTGTGACTATATGCTAGTATGTTATTGAGAAAGTATGTGCATTTGCAAGGGAGGCTGGAGTACAGTAGACCTGTTTTCTGCAAATAGTGCAAATGATGTAATCAACATCAGTTAAAGGACCACTATAGTGCCAGGAAAACATACTCGTTTTCCTGGCACTATAGTGCCCTGAGGGTGCCCCCACCCTCAGGGTCCCCCTCCCGCCCGGCTCTGGAAGGGGGAAAGGGTTAAAAACTTACCTTTTTCCAGCGCTGGGCAGGGAGCTCTCCTCCTTCTCTCCTCCTCCGTTCCTCCTTCTGGGCTGAATGCGCACGCGCAGCAAGAGCTGCGCGTGCATTCAGCCCGTAACATAGAAAGCATTTACAATGCTTTTCTATGGACGCTTGCGTGCTCTCACTGTGAAAATCACAGTGAGAAGCACGCAAGCACCTCTAGTGGCTGTCAATGAGACAGTCACTAGAGGATTAGGGGGAAGGCTTAACCCATTAATAAACATAGCAGTTTCTCTGAAACTGCTATGTTTATAAAAAAATGGGTTAACCCTAGCTGGACCTGGCACCCAGACCACTTCATTAAGCTGAAGGGGTCTGGGTGCCTAGAGTGGTCCTTTAATCATGTAACTGTATTCAGTTTCACTCCCAGTATCAGTATGCAAGTTTATACTTGCCTGAAGCTGTTGTCTCCCCTTAAGATTGCTGCTGCAGCAGATAGAAAATGTTTTATGAAAATGCCCCTGCCTTTTCAGTGTTTTATCCCACAATGCATAGAATTCAATGCATTCTTGCCAATTTTGGAATGTTGCATACAACATTTGGGATGGGTAAGGTGTAAGCATTCATTGTGGAGGTGCATAGACCTAAAATAGTAGGGAAATGGCTATATTCTGTATACAAAAAATAAAATAATTCACTCCAAACAGACACTGAATTCTGGATGCTCAGTAGAGCAACTTGAGTCAGTCTGCCAGAATGGATGGTTTTAGAATTTTCAGCGGTTTAACTGTACATATATATGAATGTGCGCCAGGTATTCAAAAAGGCCCCTACGTGTTTCATCCACCTTCGTGGACTTCCTCAGGGCAATAAGTATAAGACTCAAATGAAAAAGAAACATGATTGTTCATTGTGGTTTTTTTTTTTTTTACTTACAGCCAAGTAAATTGTGTACATCGAAAAAGTCTTAGATCTTTGAGTTCAGCTCATGAAAAATGGGGACAAAAACAAAAGTGTTGCGTTTATAATTTTCTTCAGTGTATATAATTGTGGGAGTAATTGAATGCACTTCAGTAGTCTGAAGGTGTGTTAAATAAAGGAATAAAATTGTATCCATGCATATCACAATTTACAGCTAAAATGTAATCAATAGTAATAAAAGTAGTCCTACTTTTACAACTTATCTGTTTAAGACGGCTCAGACTTACGACCAGCTCTCTAGCGCAGGGATTCAAGGGATTCCCCACATTAGAGAGCTGATCTGTGTTCAGGGAATTTTCCCAGAACATAGACCTGCACTGGTGCACATGCTCTGTAGCACATCCTCACTTACTGACCAATTCATCAGAACGGATCCCGGTCGGTAAGTGAGAAGAGCCAGTGTTAACTTTTCAGTTTGGTCTTTTCAGTTTGGTTTATTTCAGGACAGTATTTGCCTTGAGAAAATAAAGCGTTAATTTCCCAAGGAAAATAATCAACAGATTATGTGGGACAGTACCTTTTTAATTTGAGCTTGTAAATGATTGTAGAGTTTGTTCTCTGATGTCTGTGAAAGAACTCTGGCTAGTTATTAAATTTGGACATATTTTGATTAGGTGATTTTTTTATTAAATATTTTTTTTAGGGCGATCTTCCCTGTATTTTTTTTTTTTTTTTGCTGAATCATGGCAGGAGCTGGGGAGAAGAAAGGCAAGAAGGACGACAATGGCATTGGAACTGCCATTGATTTTGTGTTATCCAATGCACGTTTGGTACTTGGTGTGGGGGGAGCTGCCATGCTGGGAATAGCTACACTGGCTGTTAAACGGGTAAGTAACCAGGATATCAATGGATAGGAAAGAAGTGTGCTGTTTTACATATTTTCACTTTGTACATTTAAATAAAAATGTCAAAGTTGAAAGTTCCTCTAAAAAAAATAAAAAAAAAATTTAATTCCTTGTATCTAATTTGCTGGCATGACTTCATCCTCGCCGCTACTACACCCGTTGAGAGATCTTCACGTGTGAGGATGTTCAGTGCCAATCATGTGCTTCTCATAGAGTAGCATGGGTGTCGCCACATTTTGCTCTTCTGATAAATTCAGTGTGGAACTTGGCTCACATATGAAAGAGACAATTTCTCTTGAGCTCAGCACTTTCAGAAAATAAGAGAAGGGATATGCATGTAACCCCTAAAGCTCATCTG